GGGGGAGAGTATCTCCCCAGGGTAGCCATGAACCACTGTCCTCCCAATCTCCACCTCCCAAAGACCTGGGGTTATGGACATATGCAACCATGTCCAGCCAGAAGGAATCCATTTCTAGGGCATTCAGACAATTGCCTTGGAACTAGGCATGGGCCTGGCCTTAAGGGGCTCCATCACCAAGGAGAACCAATTTTTTAAAAAGGGCCCAAGAAAAGCCAAGAACATTTGTCTGGAAATCATAGAAAGTGGTTTGGTGATATAAGGGAGTGGGAACGGAAAGTGGTGTATTATTACCCTGTTAGGAAACACTCTAAAAGGGCTCAAATCACTAGGAATTGGGGTGTCAAGCTAATTAGCTCTGACACAATCATGAATAATGGGGTGCCAGAGAAAGAGTCTAACCTAGAAAAGAACTGTGCTGTAGAAAAAAAAAATCACAAGCAGTGGTGGGGATAGGACATAAGTAGAGAAAAAAGAAGCAATTCAGGTTTGCCTAACAAGGTTCAAATGTAGAGAGGTAGAATAAATAAAACAATGGCACAAATATTACAAATATAATTCTGAAAAGGGAAGGTCCTAAAGGTTGATTACTTTTTAAGCCCAATGTGTGTAATTTCATCACAATAATTACTCAAGAAATGGTAGACAAACAAAATGAATATTCAAAAGTGTTATTATAGCCAGGCACTGGTAGCTCACGTCTAATTGTAGCTACTCAGGAGGCTGAGATCTAAGGACTGAGGTTCAAAACCAATCTGAGCAGGAAAGTCTGTGAGACCTATCTCCAATTAACCACCAAAAACCAGTGTGGCTCAAGTAGTAGAGCACTAGCCTTGAGCAATAGAACTCACAGACAACACGTAGGCCCTGAGTTCAAGTTCCATGACATGTATTTAGTTAGCACTGTCATAATGAAGCATTCTAAAGCTGCTGCCTCAGAAGTGAAACCATGGACAATTTTCTAAGACCATCACTCCTGAGTCTTCTACAATTAAAAAGCATCTTTTCTTGATCCATTTTCATAATTTATATTTGAAATTTTTCATGGTAAATTTCTAATCATCTTCAAAAGGGTAACAAGAATGCTTGTTTGTGGGTGTTTTCGGGTTTTTTTGCGGGGGGGGGTAATCGCCTGCGGGGGGGGGGAGGGGAGGGGGGGGGAGGGGGGAGGGCATAGTAGTAGGGCTTGAACTCAGGGCCTGGGTGAGCTTTTTTTATGTTCAAGGCTAGCATTCTACAGCTTGAGCCACAACTACACTTTCAGGTTTCTGGCTTTGAATGGCAATCTTCAGATCTCAGCCTCCTATGTAGCCAGGATTTCAGGAGTGAGCCACCAAAGTCTAGAAAAAAGGGTAATAAGAAATTTCTTAAGGCAAATCTATACTAATCACTCTCTACTCTTTCACTAAAATGACTTTTTTTTTAATGCCTCCAGACTTAAAAATATCTAAAAACTTCAGAGCTGGGAATGTAGCTCAGTGTCAGGGTACATGCTCAGCAGATGTATGGATGTCCCTGGGTTCAAATACTCACATATACAGACACATAGAAACACACACAAGCACATCCGTATCTTAAATTTTAATTATTTAAGCTATTTAACTTAAAAAAATGAAAATTAAGGGTTCTCCATCTAAATACATTAAACTGCCACCACTAAAACTTCTATATGTGCTCTCTCTCTCACACACACATACAAACACCTTGACTTGCAATCAATTAAGCTATTTAAAGAAATGAAAATTATCTCCATCTCAATATCACATTATGCAAAATTAAATAGCCACCACTAAAACCTCCATATACTCATGTGGCTATTAGTACAGCTCACACTGTTCTCTGCTCTCTCCCTTACTAATTTATTCCCTTTGTACTTTGTACAGTGTGAATTCATGACTCCTCCATTCCCTTGGTAAATGCACCACCAGTGAAACAGCATCTCTGGAGCTATAACTACCTCCTATGAACAAGCAGTGCATTCTCCACAGCCAGTGCCACTCCTGTTCTCTTCTCTAGAATGTCCTCCTCAGGCTTCAGCCCCTAACAGCTCTCCAAACAAGCTTCCATGGCACCTCACAAACTTGTACTTTCAACTTTCAGTCATTGTACTTCATTGTCTTTCAGCCCCACAATGCTTTTGTCTCACTCCCTTCCCCACATGGCAAAATTCATCATGTAAAACCATGCTCTTGCTGTACTACCACTGACATTATAGAACTGTGCGTATGTGAGACAGTCACACAACCAATGTCTACTTTGAGATTTCACATTGTATTACTCTGGAATCACAGTGCTTGTTACATTACATTAGGAGTTTCTATAAACGTATCTTTTTGCCTTCTTGCCCAGCATCATTTTCAGGCCTGGAACAACAACATCTACAACACCTAAAGCTAAGCAGGTACCAAAAGGGATTTATGGACCGAAAAGAATTAGTCTATTGAGTCCTTAATGCATATTTACTATTACAACTAACAAGGTGAAAGGAACTTGAAAAAAAAAAAGCTCTTGCAGTAATTCTAGAATCAATTTTATTTACAAATAATGCTATAAACAAGGATTCCAGGAACATCCTCCTAATACATTGGATTTCATCCAATCAATTATCTGCAATGATAAAATCAAAGGTCAGGACTTCTCATATTCTGAGGTACATTCTAGGTCTTCTAACAAGGCTGAACCAACTAAATGATGGCCTTATGTCTCTTACAAATTTAGTTTAGCACACACTTCAAATAATTCCAAATCTCCGCCAGATCTTTTAGTCTTTTGTCTTCTGGTTATTGGTGATACAAACGATACATTCTAATTACAGAAGCAGTTTCCATGGCCATTGGTAGGAAAATGCTAGTAAAATTAGGGTAAATTTACTCAAATGTTGTACAATATGCAGTTATTTTGACAAATATTTCTAGTACTAAGATATATAAAACCAAGATGTAAACCATCATGAAAATGTGGCTGCCTACATAAAATGTTTATGAAACAAATCTGGATGGAAATAAAGCAAAATGTTAGTAATATATGCCTCTACAATATACAGGTTTATATATACTTGACTTTTTACTCTTTTTGACATCTCAAATCTTCTACAATGAACATATATCACAATTCTCCCCCCTAAGGGGAAAAAACAGGTAAGTATACCTCTAAGGTACTGGAGGTTTCAGTTGTAGAATTTCCAGTATTATTGCTTGAGTTTGAAGACACTGTTTCATTTTTGCTTTCATTGTCTGACTTTTCATCGGAACTCATACATTCAATATCTGCATCAAAGCCTGTTGGGTATCCCATTGCCTGTAAAACCTATGAAAATTACATTAAGGTATAATTTTACTAAGTTTTATTCAGATACCAGTGATCACAAAGAGGAAACTTAGAACACAAGTTTCATATTTATAACATTTAGATTCATAAAACACCAAGAAAGGGCAATATAGGGCTAAAAATTCTATAGATTCTTGGTTACATATGCTAAGTATCAAAGTAGTACTGTATGAAAAATGAGGAAGTCCTCCTCAAAGTAATTATGTTTAAATAAGGATGACGGAGCTGGAAAGTTGGATCAGTGGTTAAGAGTGCTTTCCTCGCACCCATGAGGTCCTGGGTTCAATTCCTCAGCACCACATAAGCAGAAAAAAGCTGGAAGTAGCACTGTGGCTCAAGTGGTAGGGCACTAGCCTTGAGCTGAAGAGCTGAGGGACAGCACTCAGGCCCAGAGTTCAGCCCCCATGTCCAACTAAATGAATGAAAAAAAGAAAGAAAGAGAGAGAGAGAGAAAGAAAGAAAGAAATTCAAACCTGATGTTATATTTGATTTGGTTCATTTAATTTGGAAATGATAGAGAAAATAAAGAACACAGGTTTAAACAATGAAATGTTGGGGAGAGTTAAAGAGAACCTGAAAAAAGTACACTGGACGAAGAAGGGAAAGACCTCAAGAGTTGAATTCTATAGTTCTCTGGTCCTCAAATTTCTAATTGACAAATCATGAAACTAGGTAAGCTAACCTCTAAGTTCTATTCTCAACTCATTAAAGGAAGCCGGGCGCTGGTGGCTCACGCCTGTAATCCTAGCTACTCAGGAGGCTGAGATCTGAGGATCGCAGTTCAAAGCCAGCCTGGGCAGGAAAGACTGTGAGACTCCTATTTCCAATAAACCACCAGAAAACCGGAAGTGGCGCTGTAGCTCAAGTGGTAGAGTGCTCGGCTTGAGCTGAAGAGCTGAGGGACAGGGCCCAGGCCCAGAGTTCAAGCCCCACGACCGACCAAAAAAAAAAAAAAAAACTCATTAAAGGAATTGGCCCAGATTGGGAAATCAAGAATTTGCCTGTTAATTACAAAATAAAATCTGAAGCATGGTACTTACCAACAATGCTTTCAACTTAAATTATACTTGAAAATTCAGAGTCTGTGTTCACTTATCATACTAAGTGAACCAGGGACACTTGTGGCTTCTATCTGCATCCTTCCCTTCAAGGCTTGACAGTTTTATGGCTATCTCTAATGTTCAAACTTCAAAATTCTTATTCAATACCTGAGATGTCTCATACTTTACTGAAATAAAATTTGTTGAGCAATGGGTCTGTATCCACAAGAAAATGCATTTATTAGTACATTTTCTTCAAAGTAAGTTGATGCTGATGTCAGTTACTAATTAAAACTTTTTTTTTTTTTGGGTCAGTCGTGGGGCTTGAACTCTGGGCCTGGGCGCTGTCCCTCAGCTCTTCAGCTCAAGGCAAGCGCTCTACCACTTGAGCTACAGCGCCACTTCCGGTTTTCTGGTGGTTTATTGGAGATAGGAGTCTCACGGTCTTTCCTGCCCTGGCTGGCTTTGAACCTCGATCCTCAGATCTCAGCCTCCTGAGTAGCTAGGATTACAGGCGTGAGCCACCAGCGCCCGGCTAAAACTTTATTTTTATACTGGACTAGTGGAGACTCAACTCAAGGCCTTTACATGCTATGCACCTGTTCACTGCTGAGCTACATCACCAGGCAATAAGACAATATGTCAGAGGAATCAGAGACAGGTCCCAAAGATCCTAGAATGTTATAGCTTTTAGCTGTTTTAAATTGATACAGTGTAAAAGCCAGTTAAGTACAGTGGCTCCATACCTGTCATCTTTGCTACTCCGAAAGCAGACTGAGGCTAGCTAAAACAAAAAGTTACCCGTGATCTCAACAGATAAACCTGGCGTCGAGGCACATACCTGTAATCCCAATTAAGTCAAAAGAATAGGTAGAAGAAACTGAATGTCGAGGTCACCCTAGATAGAGACCCTATCCAAAAAAAGAAAAAGTAAACAAACAAAAAAAAAAACAGGACTGGCAGCGTGGCTCAATTAGTAGAGAATTGCTTAACAAGTTCAAAGTCCTGAGATCAACCCCAACAATTGGAGGGAAAAAAAGGAGAGCAATGACATATTTCTTTTTTTTTCCCCATAGGGTCGTGGGGCTTGAACTCTGGGCCTGGGCCCTGTCCCTCAGCTCTTCAACTCAATGCTAGTGCTCTACCACTTGAGCCACAGCACCACTTCTGGCTTTTTGAGTAGTTTCTTGGAGATAAGAATCTCACATCCAGCTGGGAAGGCGGCTCATTGGTAGAGTGCTTGCCTTGCATGCATGAGCACCAAGTAAGCAGAAAAAGCTGGAAGTGGTGCTGTGGCTCAAGTGGTAGAGTGCTAGCCTTGAGCTGAAGAGCTGAGGGACAGTGTCAAGGCCCAGAGTTCAGGCCCCACGACCACCAACAACAAAAAAAAAGTCTCATGGCCTTTCCTGCCTGGGCTGGCTTTGAACTGCAATCCTCAGATCTCAGCATCCTGAGTAGATAGGATTACATGCATGAGCCACCAGCACCCAGCAGCAATGCCATATTTCATATTTCTTTATTATACCAGCTGTGCTTAATAAGTGTCTCATCGGGATATCAGCAGCTCACAACTGTAAATCATAGCTTCTCAGGAGACAGAGACTGGGAGGATAGTGGTTTGAGGGCAGCCCAAGCAAAACATTCATAAGACTCCATCTCAATGAACAGCTGGATATGGTGGTGTGTATCTGTCTTTCCAGATACAGTCAAAACCATACATAGAAGGATCAGGGTTCAGACTGACCTGAGCAAAAAGTTAGAGACATAGCTCAAAGATAACATGAGCAAAAGGGCTGGAGGTATAGTTCACGGTATAGACTGCCTATATAGCAAGAACAAAGCCCTGAGCTCAACCCCAGTTTCAAAAAACTGCCATAGCCACATGAATGAGAAACAAGCCTTTATAGACAATGGCATTATGTGATAAGGATTTTGCCAATATAAATAAAAGTGTTATTATAAACTACAAAAAAAAGGGCTTAAGTGGAACCCTGTACCAAGAGAACTAGAAATTAATTCATCCAATTCATATATGGGGGACTTGGCATTTAAATCATAAATAAATAATTTGTATTTTTTGGGGAGTAAAGCCAAGAACACTTTTGTAATATCTTAAATTCTGAAGTTTTACACTAAGTACACTACATCATTTGGTTATAACCTCATCAAAATTTTATAAAGAAAACACCTTCTCTGCAGAGTTCTCCAACTATGTTCTCCCTGAGAAATCTCATACCAGACAGTTTATCAGTCCAAAATTAACACAGACAATGTAGGCTAAAAGTTAAAACCTAAATGCCAAAAATTATGTATGTATACACATATGTATATGTGCATCTATACTTATACTTGTATATATAAACATATGCATGAGTATACTGCATGTGTTGTACATATACATGTATGCTTATGAATACTGCATGTGTGTACACACACATATAGAATGAAAGAGAGACAGAGACAAGAGACAGAGAGACAAGAGAAAGGAGACAGGAGACAGGAAACTGAGATACCTTTTTTCCTTGAAGAGAGCAAACACAGAGAAAGGCTGCTCTCAAAAACTAGGGGTCAGGAGTGAAAAGAAAATACATGCAATTCTACACATGGCTCTCTACTAGAAAGAAGCTAACATCCACAGCTTCTGTAGAATGGAGGTTTGATATCAGATTCTCAGAACATCTGATGACTCTAAAAACCTTTCTTAAAGAGCCTTATCTCCCATCTAACCTTTTCCACAAGGACTGAAGCTCTCTGCATAGAATATAGCTGATTATGTCCCTAAAGGTGCCTTTGTGAGAGGGGTGGATACCAAGATAAAGAAATGAAAAAACAGTCAGGCACTGGGGGCTCAGGCCTGTAATCCTACTACTAGACATTTTACCAACTGTGCTTAATGAGTGTCTCATCAGGATACTAGCAGCTCACATCTATAATCTTAGCTACTCAGGAGACAGACACTAGGAGGGTCATGGTTTGAGGCAGCCCAAGCAAAACATTCACGAGAATCAGTCTCAATGAACAGCTGATAAGGCAGCTGAGATCTGAGGATGGAGGTTCAAAGCCAGCAAGCACAAGCAGGAAAGATTCTTATCTCTACTAAACTACCAAAACAAGCTGGAAGTAGAGCTGTGGCTCAAGTGGTAAAGTGTTAGCCTTGAGCAAAAGAAGCTCAGAGACAGAGCCCAGACTCTGGGGAAGGGAGGAAGCAAATTGGCCTCTAATTTCCAGCACTCTGATATGCCAGCTGTTAGGTAGCCAGACCAAGCTCATGTGGAGGAACCTATTTCTGACAGTTATGATCTGATTCTCTGGTATAATTTTCTATCAGGTCCATCAAACTACTAACTCTGTAAAGAGTTTTATCTAGAGGACTAACTTTCATGAATACACTGGATGTGAAACTCTTTTGAAGTGGAACTTGTAATATACTGTATTAACCTTTATGGATGGCAATTTGGTAATACCATAGTATTTTCAGTAACTTTTTAAATAAATTAATGAATTAATAAAATATGCTTTCCTTTTGGCCTACAAAGTCTACCTTTAGAACATATCTTAGGAGACAATAAATAATAGCAAAAGATTGCAAAACAGTAAAACTAAAAATACCTAAACCTAAACCAACTGCTATATGGCAGCTTGATTTTTTTTTTTAAAAATGTGTTTTTAGATGAGCCAAAGAAAGATGTGGGTCTCCCTCATGTTGTATGTAAAAATATATAAGATTCATGCTAAATATAAAAATAAAAAGATTGGATTAAGATTGTATACCCAATGAGAGCAACTCCAAGTTTGCATCAAACTAAAGAAAATTTTTTCACTTCATTCTTTTCGGATTTTACAAGTTTAAAAAAAGAATAAAGGTTGGGCACCAGTCACTCACACTTGTAATCATAGCTGCTCAGGAGGCTGAGATCTGAGGACTGCGTTTCAAAGCCAGCCTGGGCAGGAAACTTTGTGAGACTATTACCAACAATTAACCACCAGAAAACTGGAAGTGGTGCTGTGGTTCAAGTGGTAGATTGCTACCTTGAGCTGAAGAGCTCAAGGACAGTACCCAGGCCGAGTTCAAACCCCAGAACCAACAATAAACAAACAAATAAAATAAAAAAGAATAAAGACTGGGTGCCAGTAGCTTATACTTCAAATCCTAGCTATTAAGGAAGAGGCTGAGATGGGAAGACAGCAGTTAGAGGAAGTTTGAGAGAGTCTTATCTCCAATTAACCACCAAAAAGCTGGAAGAAGAGCAGTGGCTCAAGTGGTAGAATACAAACCTTGAGCAGTAAACCTAAGGGACAGTGCCCAGACTTGAGTTTAAGCCCTAGTACCAACACGAGCCCCAGTACCAGCACAGACAAAAAAAACTGTATTATAAAAACATATCACTGCATCAAATAAAAATAACATCTAACTTACTGCATGGCAAAATTTATTCCTCTACTAAAAAAAAAAAATCCTACCAATTACAACTGACTACATGTATCAAAGTGTAGAAGACTTTAACAGTTATCACTGATACCCTTTTTTTGTGAAGATCCAGGCAAGGAGAAATGCTCATCTGATCTTTACATCCAAACAGCTGTGACTTTCAGACTCTGTGGTTTACTTCACAAATTTCATTGACTATTTTCTACAAAATTCAGTTCTAAAATTTGTAACACATTATCAAGAGTACAGTATAGCTCAGTTATTGTAAATTTTAACTTTAATCCTGGATTTTTTTTCTACTCATTTTAAACTCATACTTTCATTATCATTTAGACACCTTTTTTGTAAACTAGACAGAATATTTAGTATTTATATCACTTTGTTACTATTTTTCTGACTTGTTCTAATCTGGCACATTATATACTTGTTTGTATATATGACAATTACATATTTGTTTATATATATATATATATGCTGTTTGTCTTTCCACCATATCTTCATTAGAATGCAAACTCTCTAAGTACAGATCTTATTTTATTACCGTATTCCTAATATCTAAGACAGTTACAGCAGCATTTAATCTACATTAATAATACTTGCAAATCAAAACTGATCGATCTTTTTCTACCATTCTGTAACATGACATTTCCTAAGAGAAAATTTTATCTCCAGTGTATCGGATCACTGATATGTTGATATTACTCAACAAGAGGTTAAATGTCTCTGTAGAGACATTCCATTTGGGATGCTTTTCTATAAATCTACATGCATGATTTATTGGTCTAATTGAAAATATTATTCCCCATGGAAAGATTCTGAAGAACAAAATAGTACCATATCCAAAGATACTATCAAATTTATTTATGACAGAAAAATATGGAAATTACAAAATATCCAATGATAGGGAAAGATTTGAATAAGTAATAGAGTATTCTCATCATGTTAATCACAGTCATTGAAAATTATTTATAAAACTAATGAAAGGTCAACAGAAATAATTATAGAGCATAAAATTATATATATGGACATTGTAAACTCAACTTGAAAAGTTAAACAAAATACATTAAGATTGGAAACAAAACTACATATAAATATTAATGAACTATGCCATAGAAATATACAACTGATTTTTTTTACTTAACTTTTTCTCGGTTTTCTAAATTTCATGAAACCAGCATAAATTATTTCACAACAAAAAATCATCTTGTGATCCAGAAGTAACAAAAGTTGTTCTCATTAAAAGTATGAAGACATTGTTAATTTATTATAGGAAAATAAGTACTTTTTAATCAAATAAAAATAACAAAGCATTTAGTTAGTAAAAGAAATACAGTACCTTCACTGCTACGTGAAGTTTTGCTGTTTTCTTGGATGGTCCTGAGGCTTCATAAGTTGTGCCATCCACATCTACAGACATTGTGAAGACTGGGGCATGGACAGGGCCAGACTGAGACAAGAGCTTATACTGAAGCCCAGGTCTGATCTGATTTAGCCTCATTAATGCATTCATAAGGTCTATTGCTTTACTATCCAGGACTAATTAAAAGAAAGAGAAATAAGATCAGAAATGTAAAAAAACAAACAAACTGCTTTTAAGTTATACATTTATAGACTCCTTTTAATCACTAGTTTTGTTTTGTTTTTAATGAAAACTTCAAAAGAACACACATAAGCCGGGTGCTGGTGGCTCACACCTGTAATCCTAGCTACTCAGGAGGCTGACATCTGAGAATCACAGTTCAAAGCCAGCCCCAGCAAGAAAGTCCATGAGACTCTTATCTCCAATAAACCACTCAGAAAACCAGAAGTGATGCTGTGGCTCAAGTGGTAGAGTGCTAGCCTTGAGCTGAAGAGCTGCGGGACAGCGCACCAGGCCCAAAGTTCAAGCCCCACAACTGACCAAAAAAAAAACAAAAACAAAAACACATACATACAAACTAACTTTCTAAGTACTTCTAAAATTGCTTATGCTCGTATAATTTTAACACTGATATAGTGGGGCTGGGAAGGTGGCTCAGTGGTAGAGCGCTTGCCTTGCATGCCTCAGGCCCTGAGTTCGATTCCCCAGCACCACATAAGCAAAAAGAAAAAAAGCCAGAAGTGGTGCTGTGGCTCAAGTGGTAGAGCACTAGCCTTGAGCTAAAGAGCTGAGGGACAGTGTCCCGGCCCAGAGTTCAGGCCCCACAACCGGACCCCAAAAAAAAAAAACCTGATATAGTAATAATTATATTGTCAATATTAATATTTATTACCCCATGAAGCACGCAAACACAAGAAGAGTGTGTTCAATGACCAATTTCTGTTAAGATCTTATTCTTGAGCCGAGCGCCCGGTGGCTCACGTCTATAATCCTAGCTAAAGTCCATGAGACTCTTATCTCCAATAAACCACTAGAAAACCAGAAGTGGCACTGTGGCTCAAGCTGTAGAGCACTCGTCTTGAGCTGAAGAGTGCAAGGACAGTGCCCAAGCCCAGAGTTCAAGCCCCACAATTGACAAAAGGAAAAAAAAAAAAAAGATCTTGTTCTTAAAACTTCAAATTAAGTCACATTCTTCATTTTCTATCTTGCTATGTAAGGTTGTTAATCCTTTCTAGTTCACATTGATATGACTGAAGATTTTACATACTTTTTCTTAAGTTTCGTTTCATCTTCTTATTGGGATCTTTATCATCCCCTAACCCATCTTCAAATGGCCTCTTTATAGCTGATGACCCAGCACCTAAAAAATTTATGAAAGCTTCATTGTCAATCAAAACAATGATCCTACTTATTAATATGCTCAGTTAGGAAAATTTCAAGAATCACAACAAAGATCACACAACCTTTTCACTGGCCAATTAAACTGCCATATCTGTAATCTAAAAATGTAAAAAACTTTTATTGAAACAATTTAATATTAATACTTTGTAAGTATGTATTTTCCCATTTATTCATTTTTACACACAAATATCTACACATAGACTAAGGCGTGAATGTTTCTCTCCTCCCAAAATTCATATGCTGAAATTTAATCCTTCATACAATGGTGTTGGGCCAGGGGTAATATAGGAAGTCATTAGGTCAAAGCCCTTCTAAAAGGTATTAATGTACTTGGCCAGAGGCAGTTTTTCTAGTTTACCTAGTAAGGACACAAAGCAGGCCCCATCTGAAAGAACAGGCCCTCACTGAACATCAAATCTCCTATAGTTTTAACCTGGTACCTCCAATGTTTAGAACTGTGAGCAACAAAATTCTGTCACTCATAAATTATTCAGTGTTTTATTACAGTAGCCCAAACAGACTAAAATAGTATGCATTCACATCCGTTATGTACATGACAAAAAAAAGCTGGAAAGCTGTGTAACAAAATATTAAAGTAGTCACCTTTTAGTAGGATTTATTTTTATCTTTCCTAGTATTTTAAAAACAGTATTTGCATAAATTTTAAACATTAATATGTTAAATCTGATTATCAAACCATAAAAGATTTTTCTATCACCTCAAATCTCATCCAAGATTTTCTTTATAAATATTTATCTTGCCTGAAGTTTTATCTCATATCAACTTTATTACAATTTCTATGGTATCAAAAATATAGAATATAAATGTAAGCATTTTTGTATGCATGCACTCAGGCTCTTTGAAGTTCAAAGGTATTTTCTCTTTTAAAAAGAATTTTGCAGGGCTGGGAAGGTGGCTCAGTGGTAGAGCGCTTGCCTTGCATGCATGAGGCCCTGGGTTCGATTCTCCAACACCACATAAGCAAAAAGAAAAAAGCCAGAAGTGGAGCTATGGCTCAAGTGGTAGCCTTGAGCTGAAGAGCTGAGGGACAGTGCCCAGGCCCAGAGTTCAGGCCCCACGACCGGACCCCCAAAAAAAAAAAAAAAAAGAATTTTGCTAGGTCTTGGTGGCTCATACTTATAATCCTAGCTACTCAGGAGGGCTGAGATCTGAGGATCATGATCTGAAGCCTGCTAGGGCAGGAAATAAAGTCCATGCAACTCTTATCTCCAATAAACTACTCAGAAAAAGCCAAAAGAGGTGCAGTAGCTCAAACGGTAGAGTGCTAGCCTTGAGCACAAAGAAGCTCAGCGACAGAGCACAGTCCCTGAGTTCAAGTCCCAGGACCAGAAAAATAAAAAAGGAATTTCAACGCAAAGCAACATTTAAGGAACAAAAAATAACTCAAATTAATTAAATTCACAGACTATGTAAACTATAAGGCAGAAGCTTTGCTATCTAAGTTTAAGAGGAAAAGGAGGAAAGAGAAGCTCATCAACCTGTCCAAGTATGTTAAATAATTCTGTCTAGGGAAAGCTATGCCCAAGATATACATGCCACAAGATTTCCAAATATACCTAGTGAGTGAGAATTTGTAATGTATGTGTGTAATGTATGTGTTATGTATGTACTGACCAACAAGATTTATTGTCCTCTAGGGTAAACACTGAGTTTGGCATTTGCTTGAGTCAATATTTTCTACTCGGGTCACTCAATCTTGATTGATGTTCTCTTAACATCTGCTTAGGCTTGTGTTTTATTTGCAATACATAGAAGTATTGAGTGTTCCTATCTCCCAAAATACAGTCCTTAAAAGCTAAACGTTGAAAAGGAATTATGTCTAGTTAATCTTCTCCCATTCATTAAGTGACATTAAAAGCAAACTACATGACTGACTGAAAATCATAAATGTACAGATCTAGTATCTAAATCTACCACCTACATGAATAGCATTTTATGGAATAAAGTTCATTCTAACATCCCAGCCACTGGAAAAGGAGGAAAAGTTTGCGGCACATTACTGTTATTATAACAGTAATTAGGGGAAAAATCATCTTGCTATTAAAAAAAAAGCAGAGAGTTTTAACATTTATAGTATGTACTAATGAGACGTGCTCATTTGGAAGCAATAATTTCTTAAATAATATTTTGAGTGTTACCATGTGCCTGGCACATCTTCATATGTATTAACTTACTTAATCCTTATAAGCACACTGTGAAAGCCAGTGCCCTTTTCATGCTGGTTATAAATTCATTCAACAACACATATTCAGTGTTTACTATGCACAGAACTATTTTAGGCACTGAAAAATCTACCAGAGAGCAATCATCTTGTTATAAAAGAGCTTAGACTTGCCAGGTGCCAGTTGCTCACACTTGTGATCCTAGCTACTCAAGAGGCTAAGATCTGAGGATCCCAGTTCAAAGCCAGGCCAAGCAGGAAAGTCTGTGAGACACTAATTTCCAATTAATATCACACTCACTCTCTCTCTCTCTCTCTCTTTCTTCCCCCTCTTTCTCCTCCTCCCCTCCGCCTCTCTCTCACTCATGCCTGGTGCTCAAGCCTGTAATCTTAGCTACTCAAGAAGCTGAGATCTGAAGATCAAGGTTCAAAGCCAGCCTGGGCAGGAAAGTCTGTGAGACTCATCTCCAATTAACCACCAGAAAACCAGAAGTGGTGCTGTGGTAGAACTTTGAGCAAAAGGATCTAAGGGACAGTGTCCAGGCCCTGAGTTCAAGCCCCAGACTGAGGCCTCCCCCCAACTGCCCCCCACCAAAAGGCAACATTACGTTAAGCTTTAAAATTTCTACAATTTTTCACTTAAAATCTCCAGCATTCATAATAATAAGGCAGATGAGAAGACACAATGCTGTGAAGAGAAAGGGCTGATAACAGAAATCAATCCCAAAAGACCTGTCAAAACAAACTATTAAAAGTATGAAAGACCTCAGATAGGCAAGGCAATTCTGAGCAAAAAGCACCATACCATGTTGGAGGTATCACAATACCTGACTTCAAATTATATTTCAAAGTGATAGGAACAAAAACAGACAAGTACACCAATGAAATAGGAAGACTCAGAAATATACCTGCACAGCTATAGCCATCTGGTGGTTTTCAACAAAGATACTAAAAATATATCCTGGATAACCTCATGAACAAATGGCATTAGGAAAACTGAGTATCCGGATATAGAAGTCTGAAACTAGATTGCTATCTCTTACCATGTACAAAAAAATCTATTCAAAAATGGATCAAAGGCCTTAACATATGATGGAAAATTTTGAAATTACTATGGAAAAACTGAAAAAATAAGTACATGAAAAAACTTTCTGAATAAGACTCCAAAAGTTCGGGAACTAAGAGTAAGAATTTACAATGGAATTGTAAAAATAAAAAACCTTCTATAAAGCAAAAGAAACTATTGTCAAAATGAAGAAATAGTCTACAAAAAGACAAAAAAATCTTTGCCAGCTATTAATCAGACAAAGAATATCCAGGATATTTAAGAGCTTAAAAAATTAAATCCCAAAAGAACAAATAATCCAAGTAATAAATGAGCAAATAAGGTCATGTAAATGGCCAATAAATACATTTTTTTAATGTTCTACATCATTAGCCATAAAAGGTCATGCAATACTGTACAATACTGAGATTTCATCTCACCTGTCATGACTGTCACCAAGAAAACAAATAACAGGCTGGGAAGGTGGCTAAGTGGTAGAGTGCTTGCTTAGCATGCATGAATTCCTGGGTTTAATTCCTCAGTACCACCTAAACAGAAAAAGCCGGAAGTGACACTGTGGCTCACATGGTAGAATACTAGCCTTGAGCAAAAGAAGCTCAGGGACAGAACCCAGGCCCTGAGTTCAATCCCTAGAACTGGCAAAAAAAAAAAAAAAAAAATGATAGTGTCAATGGGAGAATTGGAGGGGCCTTATAAACTACTAATAGAAATGTAAAATAGCAAGCCAATATGGAAATCAGTATAGAAGTACATCAAAATACTAAAAAATACCCCCTGCTATACTGCCTGAGGGCATATGTCCAAAGGGATGTAAATCAGTACAAAATAGAGGTAAAGGCACATCACATTTATGCTAACACTATTCACAATAGCAAAGCTATGGCATCAGCCAAGGTGCTATGGAATTTTAGGTCTAAAATAAAGAAGACACAAATGGAAAAAAGAAGACAGTTGGGGCAGGAACTCTCAGAAGACAGGAAAGCAAAGTAAGAGGGGATAAGGTGGTAAATGATCAAAATATGTATGTATGAAAATAGGCCCTTATAAAAGTAGTTAATGAAGTCTATTAGAATTGTAAACTAAAGTAACATTGGGCAGCAGTGCCTCATATTTATAATCTTAGCTATTCAGGAGACTAAGATTTTAGAATCAAAGTTTGGAGTCAGCTTCAGCAGATAAATCCAGGAGACTATAAACTAAATAATCAGCCAAAAGCAGGATCTGGAGGCATGTGTCAGGTGGTTGAGAGCCAGCCATGAGTGAAAAAAGCCAAGAGCAAGAGGCTCTGAGTTCAAGACCCAGTACTGGAATAAAAAGAAAAAAGAATTCTGTAAAAATAAGTTGGGAAGAGCAATACAATAATAATACAGGGAAAAATCTCATCCAAATATATTATAATTAAATGCATGTATCACAATAAAACAGCTTTGTGCAACCAAAATATGCCAATGAAAAAACTATTAAAAAGAATTTATTGCAGAAAATCAGAAATACAAAAGAGCTAAAATTCTACAACTGAAAAATAAAAGCTGACAACTGGCAGACCTGCAAGGGAGAAAGAGACAACGCTACAGTAAAAAATAATAGAGCTCTTAAGAATAGCAAGCAAAGATCCATCAACTGCATATTATATGCATATATACATAAAGTACAAGTATATAAGACTGAACAATACAATGAACAAATGTGACTTTAAATGTAATGAAGATTA